TTCTAGTATACTTCTGTCTCTTCTCCCAGTTTAGCTCACTAAGTGAGCTTTAAGAGTAACAATGGTATCTACTGCACAAGAAATACTCTAAGATAATGCTTTTGCACAGACTGCCAAACCCCATTATTTTCTGTATTCTAGATTCAGATTGTAAAGAAAAACTGCATTTCCAATAGAAAATTAATGTTAAAATGAGAAAATATTTCCATGAAGAGATAATTATTGAATTATGATGAGCCTCTCAACTATCTCTTCTTTCTGCTCTTCCGGTTTGAAATAGCTGAAGTAGTAAAATTTTGAAATCTGAATCTTTCCCAATGATGTTGGTGAGTTTTCTATACCATGTATCTACATATGATACTTACCTGATGAATCAAGGTATGTGACAGGTACCACTCACCTTGGTGGATCTTACTTTGTCAACTAATCTGTTTTATGGGATACTTCCTAACAGTTTTCCCACCTAAATAGTTTAACATGAAATGAGTTTTGCCAGGACAGATTCTTAGTAAATGCTAGTAGGTAAAACATTTTGTCTTTTCCTTTTCCACGAGACTATGTATTTTCTGCAACCAGCTACCATTGTTCTAGTTAGGCTGGTAACTAATAGTTGTCTGTGTTGTGGTATAAAGGCAGAGTTCAATATTGAGGGCTCATGAGGTAAAGCTGTGTGAAATCCAGCTCTTTTGACCATTCTTAAGATTTCTAGCTTTTAATGAAGGCACAACTGCCATTCAAAGTAAGCAGTTGTATGCAGTGTATAATTCATGTTTTCCCCTCTTGAAATTTTGATTTTATTCTAGCCATAGCTGTGCATTTCTTGAATAATTTAAAAGCAGAATGTTTAAGAATGGATGTGAAAATCTCCTCAGAGTAACTGAGAAAAGGCCTTGCTAGTCTTAGTTTAGGCCTTCATATGCTAATATTTGCCTTTCTGATAAACTGCTAGAATATGCAGTTTTGTTATCATTACAAGATTTTCTTCAGATCTTTCAGGACAAAGTTCTTTTTTTGATGCTATTCTTGATCTTTCAAGTAGTTTGACATGTTTTATGCTGTAAAAACAGCACAATCTTCAGAAGCTGCCAAATTAGTGATTATTAATGAGCTCCCATTTTTAACTATTAATGGCTTCCTATATAAAAGAATTACACTTATAGCAATCACAGACTGCTCATGTTTGAAACTACAGGTTTCAAACTACCAATTATTATAGCTGTTTGTTGTATATTTTAGTCTCTGCTACTCTGGTTCAGGGGAATCCTGACTTGAATGTACACTATCTGCCAAAATGTAAGTATTTCATTCAGACCACATCTTTTTCTTTAAGCTGGATAATAAGAATTCATGGGAACTTTGAAAAAATAGAACTCAATTCCGTTTGTGTTGTGATACATATAAGCAAGAAAGACCTCCTCCCCACCAATGGTTTGGCAAGATAGCAGAGGATTTCTTGGCCTCAGATCAGATTAAACAAATAGTTTCCATTTCTACTTGAACAGACAGATATTATCTTGTAAGACTTGAAAGACACTGACACGAGACAAATGATAGAATGACTTATTTCCTTTGCCTGAGCCATGTGGAAAAACTTGCATCGCTGCTCTGCTGAGCAAATAAATCGTTATCACAAAAAACGAGTGGCTTAAAAGCAGAGAAGTGATTTGAAACAACCCATCAGTGACATCCAAAGTAAATATAGCAAGTAAAATATTGTAAGTAAATATAATTCACACATATAGAGTAAACAGAAAATCAACTGTTTTCAGTGTTGTGGGACTGCACCAAACTGGTTTTAAAAGATACTGGGTATAATTTAAACTCATGCCAATATAGTTAAACAACATGGGTCTTTCCCTGCCAGATGTGAGAATTCAGAATAATTTGAATGGAGCTGTTACTGCATTGCAAGTAAAATGACAGTCATACTCTATCATATGTAAATACTAAACTGAACAGATTTTAATTTCCCATTGGTTGGGAAATGGAGTAATTATATAACTCCAGTGAAGTTACTCTGATTTTATACTAACATAGTAAGGAGGCCCTTGGTCTCTTAGCTTCTCTAAAGTATGCTGTGCAGCATTTTAACATTGCTCAGGAATTAACAGAAATATCAATCATACTTTAGCAAAGCCTAAAACTACTTTTTAGTCAAATGGAGTATCACAAAAGTACTGAAAATTTGAAAGGACACACAATTCTGATTTTTATAGTTAGATGCATGGCCATGTACATAGATGTAGAGATTGTCTTAAAAAGCAACATAAATAAAATACAATTTGTTATCCTAGACATTATAATAATAATATTGTTTCACATTGGCACTGTATAAATAAGGATGTAGATTGAAAAATTTTTGTAAGTGATTATAATGTAAGTTTAAATAACTTAGATGTCAGCGACCAAAGCTGAACATTTAAATAGGGTCCCAACTGTCTCTGATAAAGCAAACAACATTTCCAGTAGTTTCTGTACATCTTGGCTGTAATGAACGTGAGGTGGTAGTGAAGGAACATGACATTACTTAAAATAATTTGGCATTAGATTCTGTTTCAAAGCTGAACATTTATGTTGTCTACTTACAGCACATTTAAGGAAAACATAAGTATAATATATCATTTCTCATTGTGGAAAACTTGAGATTTAATGTGCATTGCTTCTGTCAGCATCAGTGAGTTGTCTCATTTCCTTACTTTCTACTAAAGTATAATACAGAGGTAGCTTGCACTATTCTGCCATGAAATAATACAACTGTTGTCTTGGGTACATTATTTCACATGTATATTATGGGTAAGAAGTGACCATCTTGTTCGCACAACTTCTATTAAAAAATTAATTTGAAGATATTTGTGTCTTCACTTATGCAGATAAGGTAGCGGATATTTTTCTAATTATCTTTACATAGTTAGATGTGAATTGTCTCTTTGAGATTGTCTCAATTGTTTCATCGATTTTTTTAATGTTTGCTTGTGTCCTTTATTTTGGTTGTGTGTGGAAATTACAAAACTCTTAAGGGTACATATCTGGAATATGCTAAGGTCTTCAACCACATCATATCCTTAGCCAAAAATCACAAAGGAAATAAAATGTTTAAATTTCTGCCTTGTCTCTATTCTTCTTCAATAACACCTGAAGTTCTGTTAATATATTTTTATCTCCAAAAGTCAAGTGGCTCTTTAGGTGTTCCTACAGCTTCATGTCCACAAAATCATACCACTGACAGAGAGGCTGGGCCTCAGATTTGTTGTAATATCTGATGTTTAGAATTCCATAGGTTATGTCCTGCTTAGTTGCAATATTTTCAGCCCTTGTGCAGTGAATCACCTGTAGGACTCCTTATGGCAAACAGCTGTGAAAAAGTAATTCCTTCATCCTTCTGCTTTGGAACACGGTGTTGGAAGGGGAGCTTTCTGTGACTGCTTTGGAAGCTTAGGGGCTGCCGATATCATTACATATTTCATCTGATCTCCTTCTCTCCCTGCTGTGTTGGCGTGCTTTGGCAGGGCCCTGCTCAGCAGCCTACAGGGCATCCAGAATCCCTCGCCTCCTCCCGTGCCTCCAGGAGCCTGAGCAGGGCGCTGCCAGCGGTGGGGAAAATTCTGGCACCACCTCGCTTCTGTTCCTGGCCTATGGTGCACACATTTATTAAAATGCTGGTTTTCTATCTATCTTATAAGTTTTGTTGTTTGCCTGTCAATATTCATGTTTGTTATTTAAACTTCATTGAGGCAAACAGTTTTGTGCTGCATCCCTTTGGTACAAATTAGCTAGAGATGAACACCTGTGCACGCTTCAATGGTATATAGTAGCTAGGCTTCAGTCTCATTAAAAGTAATGAATTAAGTTTGTGGATATATATACCTCTTTTTTTTTTTTTTTTTAATTTCCATTCACCACTGTCTTGCTTCTGTATACATAATAATTAGCTTTCAGACTTTGCAGTGTACATCCCTAGGCCATTTTCTGGATATTTATGCAGTTAGTTTAATGAACTTTGCTTAGGAGTTGCTATGTGATTAAGAGTCATTACCTTCCCGGATTGCCCATTTTACAAATTACCTAGAGATTTCATATTCCGGAGTTAAGTTTTCTTATTACCTTTATAAAGCCAAAACATTTTTGTGGTGAACTCGCCCAGTTAACAAACAACAAAGGCGCTGTGGTTTTGCTCCAAGGGTGATCCTCCGTCCCTGTCAGCAGCTGCCAGAACAAGCCATGCCCACGGAGCTGTGAGCGGCTTGCCGGGGTTTGTCACCAGCTCGTTCCTCGCTCGGGCAGCTCGACTGGGTGGCTTAACAGCGAGGGAAGGAACACGCGGGCTCCTGATCTGCAGGGAGCTCCCCGTGCGCCGGTGCCACCCGCGCCCCGCGGGTTTCCTGCGGCGGGAAGGAGCGGGGGCTTTCCCGGGACCCGGGACGCTGCCCCTCCCGCGCGGGGGCGGGCACGCTGCCTCCTCCGAAACGGGCGGGTGCCGGGCGGGCCCGGTCCGCGCGGGTCAGCCTGGAAACGAGCGTTGCAGAGGGAAGAACGGATAAACCGGGCCGAGGGCAGCCTGCGGGACTCGGCGCTGGCGGCGTGGCCACGGCCGGGCCCGTCCTCCGCCTCTCGGCAGTCACCGCCCGGGGCCGGACTGCAGCGGGCTGGCCGCCTCCCCCGCCCCGCCGGCGGAGCGAACCACTGCGGTTCGCCGAGGAGGTGAGGCACCTGTCACCCGCGGGCGGCGGCGGCGGGCGGCCCCGCGGCGGGCGGTGGCGGCGGCTCGGGGCGCGTCTGGCGGCGGGGGCGCGGCGGCCGCTCGGCGGCGGAGGGGCGGGCGGCGGGCGGGAGCGCGGCCGCGGCGGGCACGGCGCCTCATCCTCCCCCGCGCCGCCGCCGCGGGTGTGCGCGCGGAGCCGTGTCCGTGCCCCCGCCGCCGCCGCTGCCTGCAATGGCGTTGAGGCGACGCGGTGGCTGCTGCTGCCTCCTGTCAGGCGGGCGGCGGCAGCGGCCGCTGTGCGCAGAGGAGGCGCGGGGGCAGCGCTGAGCCGGGCGGCCGGGGGAGTCCGTCGCGGCTGTCGGCTGGGTAAGGCAGCGTGCGCGCTCGGCGGCAGAGGCGCCGGGCTCCGCGGGGAGCAGCGCTGGCACCGGGCTTTTGTTTGGCGGGGGCGGCGAGCGCCTGCCCGGGCACTGCCCCGCCGCAAGGTGCTGCCGCCCGAGGCCCCGCGGCTCCAGCTCGCCGGGGCGGCACGGCCGCCCGAGGAGAAGCTGCCGCGGGGGCTCCGGCGCTGCCCTCTCGGGTTGAGTTTATTGCCTTCTGCAAGGGCTGCACGGCTCGCCGAGGGTCTCTGCCGTGTGGTCTTTCCGTGGCGATCGGCGGGAGCGGAGCGGGAGGTGCGCGGGGCCAGGCACGGTGGCCGCGGGCTCCCGGTACCGGCGCCGTGTGTGCCGCGGCCAGAGTGAGGCGTCCCCGCCTCGGCGGCGCGGCAGGGCGAGGGCTGGGGAGCAGGAACGGAGGGGAAGGGAGAGGGGCTTGGCTCGGGAGACCCCCGTGGTGCCCTTGGCTGGGCCGCGGGGAGCGGGGATGAGCCCCTGGGGCAGGGGCGTGTGAGCGGGCCAGCCCCTGGCTCCGATTCTGCATCTCCTGGTTGGTACCTCCAGGATCTTCCAGCCGATAAAACCGCTGCCCGTGACAAGGGGCAACTTTCTCTAACGGGATTTCGCGTCCTTTACCCTGTCAGCTGAAGATGTTAACTTTGGGTGCAGTTTTTTGTATTCCCTCGAGCTGATGTTTAATTTGCCTTGCTAAGCGTATTCTTTTTGATAGTATTTCTACCATTATGTTTCTCTGAGAGAGCAAGGATTGTCTTGCAGTGCTTCATATTTCATGTCACATTGCCTTTCCTTTGCATGCATATTTGTGCCATGATACTATGCTTGTGAATGGAAAGATATGATTATTTGTTCTTTCACTATGATTTTATAGATTGTAAATTATGCAAGTCAATTTCAAAAAGTTTGAAATGGCAAGTTTTCACATGTCTGTGCAGTGCTGGTTTGTATTTTTTTTTTTTCCTTTTTTTTTGTAAATATATCAGAAAATGGTAAATGGAAATTGTGAGAGACTTGAAGTACCTGACATGGTTTCAGAAAACCCTCCTTTCTATTGCAGGTTAAATCAGCCCTTGTTCTTGGGAGTCCTCAGTCGTGCTGCTTTGTCAGAATTGACCGTGTGCATTTAGACATTTGCCTCCAGATCTGTCAAGTATGGCCCTGCTGAAGGGCAGTGGCCCCTGAGGAAAATCACTCCTCAGGCAGAGAATCGCTGCTGTGACAACCTACTGAGAGTGATACCACAGAAACTATGCAAGCAGGTTTCACACTCCTGAAGTAAACATGATGAAAACAGAGTCTTCAGGAGAAAGATCCACCCTCCGAAGTGCCTCTCCTCACAGAAATGCTTACAGAACTGAGTTCCAGGCACTGAAAAGCACCTTTGACAAACCGAAATCAGATGGAGACCAAAAAGCGAAAGAGGAAGGAGAGACCTCACAGAGCAGAGGAAGGAAATATGGCTCAAATGTCAATAGGATCAAGAACTTATTTATGCAGATGGGCATGGAGCCCACTGAAAGTGCTGGAGTTGCCCCTAAAACCAGGGGAAAGGGTGGCCCTCCATCACCTCAAAGGCGAATTAGGCCCAAAGAATTTGTAGAAAAAGCGGATGGCTCAATCGTAAAGTTGGAATCATCCGTCTCTGAAAGGATTAGTAGATTTGACACTCTCCATGATGGTCCTTCCTATTCCAAGTTCACTGAAACTCGGAAGATGTTTGAGCGAAATGCTCATGAAATGGGACATTCAAATCGCTATTCCCCAAAGAAAGAAAAAATCATTTCTAATGAACTTCCGGATGAGTGGTGCAGCTCAAAGTCTCACAGAGGCAGCACTGATTCACTGGACAGTCTTAGCCCAAGGACAGAGACTGTCTCTCCAACTGTGAGTCAACTCAGCGCAGTTTTTGAAAACACTGACTCACACAATGTAATAGTAGAAAAGTCGGAAAACAACGAAGAGTACTCTGTAACTGGTCACTATCCACTAAACCTCTCATCTACTGTCACAAATATCTCCTCCCCAGCTGCAAACCTTGAGGGTTTCAGTCCTTTGAAAGAGGCCAGCACGTGGTCTCCTCCAGCCAAGCAGGCTGAGAACTCTCAGCACACTAACACGCCTCTAACATCGAGACAGAAGGTGTCCACAGGCACTTCGGCAGGTTCAAAAACAACTGAAGAAATAAAAAAGAGCACAGAGGCAAGTGCTGATTCTGTTGAGAGTTCTGCAACAGGTCAACGGGATTTGGTTGGCGTGCTTGACAGCGAAAGATCTGTGGATAGCTGTGCTCGGAGTAAGTCAAAAACAGAGACAGGAGTTTTGGTGCAGCAGAAGGAACGGTCAGAACATACAGAAGGTATTTTTGATCAGCCTGAAGCTGCTGAGTTAACAAGAAATGTAGCTTCAGGTGGTGATTTTGCCACAGATGCAATTTCCGATGCTACAGAGTCCCATTACGATGAGGAAAGTGAAAAAGATGGACAGGAAGATGTGAATAATTTTCAGAGTTCCCATGTGTACATGCACTCTGACTACAATGTGTATCGGGTACGATCCAGGTATAATTCTGACTGGGGAGAGACAGGTACAGAACAGGATGATCTAGATGACAGTGATGAAAATAACTGTTATGAACCTGATATGGAATATTCTGAAATTAATGGATTGCCAGATGAAGATGAAATCCCAGCCAACAGAAAAATACAATTTAGCCGAGCTCCAATTAAGGTAAAGTTTTATATGTTCTTTTTTTTTTTTTTTTACAGTTTAGTTTGTTTTCAAATGCCGCTTTATTTGAAGGAGATTGTGACATTTGATCTTGTCTTCAAGAAGATTTCAAAGGATCTTTTGATACATGTTTTTATTGCAGTCGGTGAACATAATCTTAAATGAAGTAAGGCAGCTGAGCTCTGATGAGCTTGTGTATTTTCCTAGATTTCTTGGTGACTGACTAAACCAGCAGAATTTGAGAATGACAGCTGGGCTTGTGAAGTTCAAGAATTTTACCATGCATGTTTTGACTTCTGTGGCTGCACTGTAACCACATTGTGAAACATCAGTGTGGGTATTTGGTGACTTTTGTGCTGCTTGTTTGATTTCATTTGAAGTCACAGCTGCTTGAGATTGAAGGGGTTTTCCTCAGCTCTCAGCAGATTGTTAAAGTACCTTTACTTAAAGATTGTGCCGTGAAGTACAGTGTGATTCTGTAGTAGAGGACTGTTAATATTCCACATCTCAGTTAGTATAATATTATGTAGTAGCACTGTCACTTATTTAAAACTTTTAAAGCATTTATGTGTATATAGAGAATGTATATATAGCGAATATATCTTAATTCTACACAAGGGTGAAGTCAGTTGACTGAAATACTTAGTGAAGGGTATGCTTTTTGTGGAGCTGTTTTGTTTTAAGTACCTTGAAATTACCACTAAGTATGTCGTTTCCAATACTTTTCGGTTCAGAAAGGAATAACTAGTAAATGGCTTGTAATGTTTTGTTGTACCAGCTTTTCCTTGCTGAGTCTCAGGATTAAATATAAAAGTATTTTTCTTCCAAGTTTGTTTTAGTGCATGTGTGTGATGGTTTGACCCTGGCTGGAGATGCCACATCTCTAATGGACAATTCAAAGCCGTAGCAATTGTTGCAGAAATGAAGTTGACTCTTCCTTGTGTGATTTTAGCAGTGAAAAATACTAAGTCAATGAAGAGAAGTGCCAGTGTTCAACTCAAAGTAATGTGATTTACAAAATCTGCATTCACACTGCCTGTGGTTTAAAGTAGGGTGGGATGTATATTGTATTATGAAGTTTTCATCTGAATAAAGCAACCAGATTTTCTTATCTGTTTTATCATGGAGTGGAGGGAAAAGAACTGTCTTGCCTCATGCTTTGAAAAGAACATTTTTACAGTGAAAGAAAATATTCAAAGACAAGATAATGTATTTTTCTTACAATTTTAGTTTGTTGGTGTTTTATTCAGGCTAGCATCATGAACTAAAAGTTCTAAGTATTTTTGGTCCCTCTTGATTGTTTCCATAATTAAAGTAACTGGTTTTCTTGAATTCTCAGGGGGAGGTGAAGTGAGGAAAACTTTGATTACGAAGGAAGTTTGTCTCCTCCACTGCTTTCCTGCTCTAGCTAATAGATAAGATGTACTAATAGACAAGATGATGTTCTCTCTTCTGAAAGACCTACCAGTTGTTTATGATGGTTCCAACAGATGAGAATCAGAAAGTGACTCCACTGATTTTATTCTTGAGATGGTCAGACTTTTCTGCTGTTTCCAAAAGAGTTAATAGTGACATTTTTATTTCAGTGTATTGCTGTTGTCTCTCTGAATCACGCTGTCATGCCAAGTGCTCTGAGAGTATTTTCTCATTTATTTGTATTTTTTCTTTTCAAGTTTTTCATGCTATGTTCATTTCAGATTACAAATTGTACAGTGATAATAACAGACCATCAGGAAAATGCTCTAAAAGTAATTTTTGTAAATAATTAAAAGAGCGCATTTGTCGTGGGTTTAAGCATAAAGCACTCTCAACAAGCTTATCCAAAGTAAAAGAATCATTGCTTTAGTTATTCTAGCATCTTTATTGTAGATAGGAAGAAAGAAGAAAAAAAGCTGTGCTGGGAGAGAACAGTGTCGAAGGGTTTGGGATATTTGGGAGATCCCCTGCTTTTTGTCTTGGGTGCCTCCAGTGCAATCTGTTAGTCATGTGGGGAAGCAGAAGTGAGACCATGTGGAAGGCTGGCCTTAGCAGGAGGAAGTGCAGCAAAAGTTGTGGAAAATTGAAAGCTGCTTCTGGAGCAGTGCTGCCTTCTGGCCGCAGTTCCCTCGGCAGGGTGAAGCTGTGTGAGCCAGGGCAGGGCATCAGGTCACTGCTGGCCACGCTGCCAGGGCAGGGACCCCGGAGGGGCAGCTGGAGAATCCCCTGGAGGCTCCTTGTACCAGGCTCTGGGTCTCTGGCTCCTGCTCTCCTCTGACAGCACTGCCCATGGGGCATGCTGTTGGAGGCTGGGAATGGCTCTGGCAGGAGGGTTCTGTGCGGCACAGCTATCAGTGAGCAGTGCTGGCAGCAAGGGGGACTTGTGTTCTGTCCCCTCACTCAGTGCCAGCAGATGAATTTACCCTGTGCCCATCTGTTCCACAGGGATGTTGCTTCTGACTAAATAGACAGGAAATGTGTAAGGATTTTCTGTTCTACACAATTTTGTGTGTTAGCATGACTGGTTTCATTAATACTTAGCTGAACATCATCTCATGCATGGTGTGATTGCAAGAAAGGAAAATACAAAGCAATATAGAAGTATTGGAAACTGGTTTGTCTTTATGAAAATAATGCAATTTGTTGTTAACTATTCTGCTAGATAGTGGTGTGCAAAGTCCAACCCAAACTTTAGATGTTTGGTGTTGATTTCAGCATTGTACCTTCACTCTCCTACAGGAGAACTCTGACATAATTAACAAAGTTGGCATTTGAATGTGTGAACTGGAGTCAGTGGGTAGTTATTGCCATAAAGTTGTTACTTGAAGATCTCAACAGGTTTAGGTAAACATATTTGGACTATTTTTCTATGTGATCTCTTCAGGCAGACATGTAAGAGATTTTTTTGTTGCTTTAATGGAAATACTGAGGAATATGAGAAGCAATAAAGTATAGGCAGAAGGATAAATAAATAAAATTTTACCAAAATGCTAGGGTCTGAATTCTGCTTGTCTCCCAGGCAGGAAAAAGACTCAGTTATTGAGAAACTCACTATCAAGAGGAAGACTCAAGTCAATGCATGCAGGAAATTCTACTGTGATATAGTCTGTAATTTTGCTATCACAGATTCCATGCTCCATGGGCCATTTGCTCTCCTCTAGGATTATAGAAGATATTTGCTGATTTCATCTCAGTTGAAAGTCCCTTTAGGAGTAGGTGACTGCCTGGAGGCCACTGCAGGCTTGGAGAGTTTCTAGATATTTGGAGTGTGGCTTTGCTGACGTGAGCAGTTGTGTGTGTCTGTGGGAGCTTAAATCAGCTTGGTGCTGTTCATAAAACGAAGCTCAAAAGGGCCCAAGAGTGGGCAGTGGACAGGAGTGTATTGTTAAACAAGGGATGTGAACATTTCTGTAGCTGTTCATATGACTGTTTATGTAGTGATACAGAGGCCTTTATCAGCACTGGCCTGCTCTTGTGTTGAGGTATTGTGTTTGTGCTCAGGGATAGAAGTGAAGCTCTCCAGGGCAAGTGTATGAGGTGAAAAAGTTAAGTAAATGGGATAAGAAAAAACATACTCTGGTTTTTCCAGGGATACTTTTCTACCAAAGAAACAAAACAATGCCCCCCAACCCACCACTTACTGATTTACTGGTCTTTCATTGGTTATGCAGGGTTTCCTGATGGTTGAGTTATATACTGCTTCTCAGACAGGGTGGGCTAATTGGGCAAGATTTGCCTGTAATGCAAAATTCATTAGTTCATGGCTTTCCACACCCCAGCAAATGGAAATGTATTGATTGTCCAAATCATAAGTCACTTTTTGAGCCGTGCTTCCCCTGTCCTGGTGTCCTTCTCCCCTGAAGAGTAATGTTCACAATTTCTGTTTCCAAGCCCATAGTTTCTGCTGCCCTGATAGCTGATGGCTGCATATTCAGTTAGTGCCTGATTTCTGGCACCGGCTACACCTTAAACCATTTAAAGCAGTTAACAGCAATTTGTGTCTCCTGCTGAGCCTCCTTTTGCTCCTTCTGCTCCACTGACTCTGTCCTGCTAGCCAAGGGGTTGGGTATTATCTGGTCAGACCTTATGGCAGACAGCAGGGGACTTGTGGTGCTGTGAGAGGGTTTGGCCCAAGCTGCTGCTGCAGGTTTTTAGCATTCTGTAAAGCTTCTTTAGGGTGCAGTGGTGAAGGGACATCTCTGCAGACCTCTCTGGAGTTTTGGGAGTAGGTGGGAGTGAAGGTAACGTGAAAGGAAGGTATATAGCCAATGGCTCTTTCATCCTTCAGCTAATTCCATATGAAGAGAATGTAATCACTAATGCTCATGCCTCCTATTGTGCTTCCTCTCTTTTGTCATGCAGCATGACTGAATTTTATACCCCACAACACTTCAGTTTTCCAGGTCATGTCTTGTTGAAATGGTCTTCAGGAACTGGAAATTGTACTTTATCTCTCTCTCTCACCTTTGAAGAAAATTTGCAAGTGCTGTGATTATAGTTTAGCACAGAACATAAATGAAATTTGTATTTAACAGTTGCTTTGAAATTTTTTTATGAACTCCATTTTTTACAAACTTCTAAAAATAATTTCAAGTAATGAGTCTTTCTTTCAGTTATTCCTCATTTCTGAGGGGATCTGAAAGATCCTTTAGTTCCAACCCCCCGGCCACAGGCAGAGACTCCTTCCACTAGACCAGGTTGCTCAGTTCCATCCAATCTAGCCTTGAACATTTCCAGGGATGGGTTATCTGCAGCTTTTCTGGGCAACACATTCCAGCGTCTCACCACCTTCACAGTGAAGAATCTTTTTCTAATATGTAATTTAAACTTACCCTCTTTCACTTTGAAGCTATTTCCCCTTGTCCTGTCACTACAAGCCCTTGTAACATCTCTCTCCATCTTTCTTGTAGGCTCCCATCAGCTACTGAAAGGCTGCAAATTGGTCACCCCTAAACCTTCCCTTTTCCAGGCTGAACAATCCCGAGTATCTCTGTCTTTTTTTCATAGGAAAGGTGCTCCATCAC